GGCCCGTATACGGAGAATACGAACAAACTCATCGAGTATCTGATCAAAGTGTGCCCGTCGTCGTTCGAGGCCAAATCCAAACAAGGGTGGACACCTCTATATATGGCATGCCTCCTCGGCAGGGTCGATTTCGCAAAGACGCTGATCGACGCCGGAGCCGACCAGTCGGTGAAAGATAAGGAGCTAAACAACATCATCCACGCTTCTCTAACAAATTTCCCGACCGCAGCGGAACAGCCTAAGCTCGATCGTCTCCGAGCCCTCCTGAACCTCTTCGATCCCGACCTCAGAGCCCACATGTTCCTGCAGCGAAACAACCTCGCCCGCGGCGGCGACACTCCTCTTCACTCCTGGATAAAGGCCGCCAACCGTCTCACGTACTATCGGACGAACCAAAGCTGGCCCTCCGATCAGCTACTCAACGACGAAGCTCTCCAGAACATCGACGTCCTGCGCCTACTCTTGGAGCTTTCCGGCGGCGCAGAACTCGACATCCTCAACGGCACCGGCGACACCATCCTCCACACGGCAGTGCTTCACCACCTAGCAGGCCACATCCAGGTCCTCCTTGACCAGAACCCCACCCTAGCGTACCGCGAGAACGCAGTCGGCCGCACCCCCAGCGAGATCGCGTACGACCTCTTCATCAACTCCAAAGTGGAGTCGCAGGAGTCCGTCGCGCTCGGCCGGGACGCCAACGACAGCATAGTCGCCAAGCTAAAGCACAGCAAGTACGAGATCCTAGGCAGGCACAGACGGAACAAAAGCTCCAGGCAGGACACCCTCGGCAAGAACCGCAAGGAATACACCTGGCGGGTGCTCGAAGCGCACCTCGCCAAGGTCGCCGGCAAGCGCCGCCTCGTCAGCCTCAACGAGGCCAACGACGTCGCCAAGCGCCTGGGCGAGAGCTACGCCGCCCAGCGGTACTACCAGAAGCCCACGGCGACCGACAGGGAGCGGGCCGAGGAGGAGCGGCGGCAGCGGCCGCCGCGGGAGGATAAGCTGGTCGGCTTTATGGCTACGCAGTACGAAGGGGCGAAGCAGAAAGCTTGGACTGCTAAGGGCAAGGACAAGGCGGTTGTTCCCCACGCTCCTTTTGTTTTTTGAATGGGTCTCTAGCACGCCTGGGGTGAGGTGGGGTAGTTTGAATATTAGTTGGCTTTTGGATTGTTGGTCGTGTTGGGCACTGGCTTTGGTTGGGTATAATAATGGTTAGGAAGATTTGCTGGTCTGCTTTTTAAGTCTGATACTTACTTATAGCTATGCTTGGCTGTTTCTTTTAATTGTGTATCTGAATGCTGTTATGATATCGTACCTAAGATATATATTAAGGACATGGATTTATACGCCTTTTGACGCAACGAATATATACTATAAATTATAATAGAATACTAGACTGATACGTACTACTATATGATCTAGAGACTTTGGGGTCTTGTTAACTATCTATAGAAAGATTATATAGGGAGGGTATAGTGATAGAGCAAAAAGTGGTTACCTATATTAAATTACAATCGCATAATAGATTGTTGCTAAAAGGGGGTCGACAAACTAGGGGAAGGCGTTATTAATACAATATCGTAGCTACTATCATATAATATATTCCTCTACTACTTTAGCACTGATGCTATATTCATTGCACGACAACTAGTCACGAAGGTATTTATCTCAGTGTTTAGAATGTCTTTTCATAGCCTTGAATAAAAGGGGGACAAGAGGTTTATGTTTCCAAATTCCAATCATGCATAGTTGACTTTATGTAAACGAATAAAATCAGGCAAGTTTAATTGAAAGGGGTATAAATGAATTGAAAGAAGTATAAATGCAGTTGAACTATATCGCCTCATCGTAGTCCTACATGGGTATAGGTAAACAATTAAATAATAAATGCTTAAACTATGTAACCCAACATATGTACGTTTGAATGCCCGAATACCACGTGTTGATATATACTTTGGTACATCTCACAACAACTATTGGGTACCTATCAGGTGGGCACATTAGCTTTGATTATGGAACGTATCGATAAGCCTTATCAGGGAATGAAGTTGGAAGGTGCGGGGCACGGGTCTTTGAATTTATAAGAGGAAGTTGCGGAGCTACTTTCGCCTTCGGGCATTTGGTCAATTTGAAACGATACAGTACGTACCCCTTACTACTCCTTATTTCAGGACAACAGGAAGGCTAACGATTATAACAGGAGAAGATTAGCATGGCCCCTGCACTAAGGATGACACGCTTAATCAAAGTGAGCTTCAGATTTTTTTGCCAATTTTTTTTGTTGTGATTTTAAAGGGATTGCATCCAGGTATTTAGTTAAGTTCTTGCAGGAACAAAATGTTAAGCTTAAAAGGTGGGGCGATAGTTTAAAGGAAAGAGCGTTCGAGTCTCGTAGAGGCGTATTTTTTTTTTTTTGGAAAGAGCGTTCGACAGATCGTAATTGCCCTTTTTTTTTTTATATCATAGTCCGTGCACGAACCTCTATTTTGTTTTTTCTAATTTAGAAGAAGGCACGTAGGGCGAAGCTCTAACTGATCAAATTCTCTTACCACCTAACGGGTGCTGCGCTTTAATTAAGAATTTATCCTTGGATTAGGGACGTTAGGGTGCGACGAGCCTGTATAGACAGTACAAGTAACCTTCACACTACAACCATAACTTTCTGACAACTATAACTACTCAACTATTTCATACATAACTAGGTTATACCTTTGCAAAAAACATCTTTAAACCCCCAGAAGAAGCGGGGGTAACTGAAGCCTTAAAACCCGAGAATATTGAAAGCATCTGATTCTCCAAACACTGAAGACGAGGTACAAAAGCGTCAGTAAAAAATCTTTCGACGTAACTATTCCTGCTATAAAAGCTAACATGTTTGTTTTGCAGCTTGAAAAGGACAACGATCTTAGGTTACCCACATTTACGCTTCCCGCTCCTGACTTGGACGACGATGACCAGCCGACAACTATTTCCTCTTGCGAAACCGCTCCGATAAAAACATCTTGGTTTATTATATGCCAGTTGCACCTTGCGTTATTGACTCGGCGCTAATTTTATTCATTAATAGCCAAGCTAACAGCAACTATCAATCCTTTCAAACTTAATGTAAGTTTGTTTATTCAACTATTAACTATTAACTATTAACTATTCATTTTATGTTCAGTATCTTAGTATACTTACAAGTTATCGTGAAGCCTTGTGGTCGGTGCTTTCAACCTCCACTGCGTTTTGAGTAAGTACACTATTATTGTTATTCTTATATCGCATACATTAGATCATAGATAATTAATGATGCTTTCTTAGTCATGCCTCCTAAGAGGTTCTGCTCCTAAGGCCTGAATTGACCGCGGACCTTATGTCTTGTGGGCTCCCAAGATTAAGGTATCTGCGACGGCGGTGGCATACTTGATGACCTTGATGGCGAGGATATTCCTCTCGCGTCGGCTTCACCATCTATTTCCCCCGTCGCGTCGACGGCGTGTATCAGTACTATGCGCGAGGTGCTGATAGACCGTCCGATACTCACAACATCTTTTTTGGTGCCCATCCCGGAAAGGTGGACATTGTCTTTGCAGAAATTGCGCCGGACTCGGAAGCCTTTCCTAAAGAGCTGTTATGTATAGTGTATCAACTCTGGCTCAGCATAACCATGACCCTCCACGAAAACACCCAGTTGGTTTGTGAAGGCTGGCCGTGGACGATGTCTTCCACCCATCGCAATGCGCGTCGCTTCTACAACTCATGGAAGCAGGGACAATCCCGTGGCGAAATTCAGCTACAACATAGCTAAGATAACTGCATTAAATGGGCTGGCGGCATGGGTATTGCCGAGGCATGCATTCCCTAGATCGATGGCCGGCCTATCGTAATGACGGGTGATTCCCAACAACTCGCCCCTACGGTCATGAGTTTGCTATGGCGCATCAACGGCAAATATTCCTTGCCTTGTCATCAACCGTCAACCTCGTATGGTTGTCGGTGGATTTGATTTAGTCCACGACTTGTTTTACCAGGACGTTGCCGGTTTCTCATACGACCAAAACCTCTGTACCAGTTCTAGGCACCTAATTGCTACAATGGCAGAACATTGGATTATGAGCTTTTACATGGTGAAAACACATATTGTGATGTCGACGAGTCCGGATCGTCATTCAGTCCCGGACAAGCAGCACACGCTAGAGAACTAATTTCCGATGCCATAACAGGCAAGATCACGACCGCAGACAACTTCGTCGTCATCGCCCCACGCAATGCGATGAAAAAGTACATGCAGGAGAAATGGAAGGCGGTCCCCATTCTCTCAACCACTCCCATTAGCACTACAGATTCCTTCCAAGGCAGTGAAGTTAACATCGCGGTATGATAATAATAAAGGGTATGTATTATATCGGTTTAAATTAACCAAATGCCGGAAGGCAAAAACTTATGTTATGCTATCTCGAAGCTTCGCTTTGGGGTTTACGATAAATGAATTTGCAAGCGGTATTGGGCTAAGGGAATCCGTTAACCTTTAAACATGGGAAGGGCTCGAAAAAGCAGCAATGGCACAATCCCTTTGCATAACACAGCACATGGAATAATAAAGTTGCAAGCTTGGGAGCTTGCGATAGCAATGTGTAGTCGCCCGAAAATACGCTGAGAAAGCCCCTGTCTCAAGAGCAAGACTACCTAGGTTAGTAAAGACGGGGGAACTCACTCAGATCTGGTCTTATAAACTGACAAATGGTTATAAATTCCGCTCGGTGCAGATTTCGACTCTAATTAATGGCGAGGCTTTAATAACAGGATTGGGGATGGCTCGAGTAGTTTGTTGTATGGTGGAAAACCCCCTTATTTTGACTTGAGTTGAGAATCTGTGACAAGGGAGTTATGGGCTATCGACGACCCTAAGAAATTTCACGAAAAGAGTAACTTGATACTGCTGCTTTGCTAGACAACGTATGACCTCGGGTCTATTTGACTTCGATTCACAGAAATAGTAGTTCTGCGAATAAGGATGTTGCGTTATGAAACTTTTTGAATAGAGCTGTGCTATTAGGGTCTAATTCTAAACACATAACTTTTGCTTCCCATTTCTCTTTTATATTACAGAAATTTTCCCCTTAATTCTTTCCGGACTATTTGCCTTGAATTCACTAGCAGTGCTGTGCCATCATGGAACTTGTAAGATATATATACCTTCATCTTTCAGATACTACAGAGTTCTCAAGACTAAAAAGGTGGAAAGATTTAGATGGTAGCCAGTCATGTGAAAGAATGAAACCTAAAGCGGCCGCGTTGTCTAGCACATGAACCAACGCCTTCGACATAGTTATTCGTAAGAGGTAGTCTACCATTAGATACTTTTAATAAGTACTTCGAAGGGAGGTGAACATCATTGTTCCTCATTCTGAGCATAGATAAAATTCGCCGCTACGCGTTCGTCAGCATTGCTGGTATCAACGGGATGATTCAGGATCGTATTGCTAAGATACTCACCAACGGGTTTGAGACCGTTCTTTCCTGCCCAATCCCTCACGCCGTGTCTCGCTTTACCCGTGCCCCAGTGCTTTCTGTCCTCCGGCTTGGTCAGGTGAAGCGGGTCTGTAGTGCCGTTCGCGGGAGCGAATAACAGAAACACGTATCTGTGCTTTCCAGTCCTTGGTGGCGGGCCAGGAGGTTTGTACGGTATAATTTCCTTCAAGCTAGATAAACGGAGAGCAGCAGATTCCGATGATGAGATATCCACCCCTGTGGCGATGAAGTGACAGAATTCGGACCACTCAGGGTTGTCGCGAGATGGAGCGTCCGGATCGGTAATGATGATTGTGTAGGTCGCGCCGGAACGCTGCTCAGCGGACAACGATGAGGAGTGGCTCTGACGTACTGCGATGGTGGGTTCGTCTTGCACATCGCCCACCTTCACGGTATTCCCTAGCTCCGTACGTTCTCCCGAGGGCCATTCCGCGTCGAGGAGAAATGAGGGGAGAAATTTGTCAATGACTATCATCGGTTAGCCATATATTAGATCTGTAAGTAGAGACTTACCTGTTGGAAAGATCTCTGCCTTTTTCAACCTGATATTGATTCTGTTAGTTAGGTCCTACGTTGGCTGTTATCGGTATGCTGAGATGCATATACTCATGCTGGACCTTGTATACGTCTGAATCTAGCCGATGCTGCTCAGGTGGAGCAATGATGATCTGCTCGGTAGGTGGGTGTTTACCAGTCACAGTTAAAGTTTCTAATATTAAGAAAAAGAAGATCCATGTGTGTAAATAGACCAACATCTTCTAAGGTTCCAATCTTAAATTTATTTCATCAACAGTATAATTGTTAGAGTTCCGAGTTTCAAAGACATATTCGATGCCTTTAATGTTGGAATTGATGTTGCTCTGTCCCCGCATTACATTGTCGTGATGTCACCTAACCTACCCGGGTAGGTATAAAGTAATAATCCTTGTAACTACTATAAGCATGGCTAATATAGCTATTAATATTATTTATTTTGATTCCAAAAGGCTTTGGCACGCTTAGACTTATCGTTTGGATCTAGCATCCACAAGACTATTTATCGGCGGAGACCGTAATCAGTGAAGGGAGATGTTGATGTTGTTTCACAAGATGCGTGACTAGCATAAACAAAATTCTAGAATCATATCATATACTTTAGTTAATAGATGCTTATACGGTGTTAAGTAACATATATACGTAGATATATGGAAATTATAAGAGATAAGAAGTTGCTATGATCTATAGGTCGAATAGGTTCTAAGTGCTTACTAGGTATGTAACTTTATCACGTGCCTTTTCAGCATTTATACATTCGTTACCTGCATACCTATACCCTTCATATACATATATAGGTACGTACCTAACGTACATCCACCTGGATTCCTTCAATCTTGTGGCTTGGACCCACGGTCCCCTCTTTTTCGGTGGGCTGCGGCGCGTAAGTGAGATCCACATGCCATTCTGCTTGCAGGTATCAATTCCTGGGTGTACAGTTGCGTCGCGTAAAATAGACCTGAGGTGCAAACTCTCAAATCGCGCCTAGAAATTTATTCCCCAAAATTACGTGCCTACCACAGCTATGTACATATAATCAACTTCACCTCACGTCACTCTATTAATTGCCGAATGCAGATGTGCGCTTTTCTAAACGTATGCTGCCCAACTTATTTTTAGGTACTGACCATAATTAAACTCTACTTTTCTCATACCTACCTAGGTTAGCTATGAAATATCGCAATTCTATCCGTACCTGTGTTTAACTTCCCTTAACCCTAATTCTATCTGCCCTCTTCTGCCCTCTTCTCGCCTGCCGACGACAACTGACCACACCGACCAACTTCTAATTTATTTCTACGCCCGCTTAAACCTCCGTCGAATCCCCTGCGCATTTGTTAGCTACATATATCTCGGCCATCAAAAACTACGGTACGCTCATCGTCATGGTTTCATCAAGGAAGCGCGCATTGCGCGATGCTGAACCAGAAGCCGAGGCGCGAGGGCATCCCAAGGAGCTATCTTTACTTCATCGCATCAGAAATACTTGGCAATTTGCCAACCTGTTCCAATGGATATACTTATTTGGCAAAGTCGTGAAGATAGACGACAATCTCGAGATAGATGTACGTGCTCCTTGCCATCCTTAATTCCAACTGATAGTTCCTATCAGGATCTTTAATATCGATCCCTAGCGCTAACACTCTGTCGTGGTAGGATCTGGAGGCCGAATTCCTAAAACCCCGTTCGACCGTCCTAGTTAACATTGGCCTTGCCTTACTCAAGTTTGTATCATCGCATCGCGGCTTAACGTATGTTCCATCGCAGTATCCGTTTCTAAAAATTGTATTATTGACTCGTCTCCAAGGCCGGACCTCTTCGACGAATATACGCGACGGCAATATGTTGCTAAGGCCGCCGATCGAAATCCGTTTGGTACCGCGGATACGCCCGCCAAGTTCGACGATTTCGATGCTTTCACAAAGGTTCGTCGGTCGCATAGTAGACAACCATACAATACTAAATTTTTCTACTGCAGATCAAAATATTACAGCAGCTTACCCAATGGGTGATGTTGCATCCCGAAAGAATTCGAGAAAAGATGGATGAGCAGAAGCCAAGCGATCAAACAGAATGGGTACGAATATCTCTCCTGAGATGTCCTAATAAACAAGCGCTAATATTATATCAGAGAATTGAACCCTCGGGCTGGGATAGCGACGATCGCATTTATTATATCCTAGACGATAACCGAATATACCGCATGACAGAAGCCCCGCCGACCTCTGCGCCCTGGAAACCCAAGAAGAATACTAAAAAGGCTAAAGCAGCAGCAAGAGCTGCTAAACGACGACGCGTATCAAGATCCACGGTGCAAAACGGTGACGATGATGATGACGGCTCTGCTTCTGACGTGGATCAACCTGCTGAGCCGGAGGATGACGGTCTGGGGGGTGCGAAGTGGGAGTGCATTGCAGCGAGCCTCACAGAAGTGCAGGAATTCCTTAATACCATTCGAAAGACCCGTGACGACAATGAAAAGGTCCTAAGGAGTACTATTGAGAATCACCTTCTACCTATTTTAGAGAAGCAAGAGGAATCTCGGAAGCGGAAAGCCCTGCAGAGGGAGAAAGAGCTACTCAATCTCGAAAAGATGGCACATGCCAAACGTTCGAGCCGCCTTGCTAACAAGGCCGAACAACAACGATTGGAGCAGCAGGTTAAAGAAGAGGAACAGAAACGCCGAGCAGAAGAGTTGACGGCTCGAAAGGAGCAACAAAAACGTATAAAAATGGAGAAAGAGCGCGACAACCGCATGATGTCTCGGGAGAAACGACTTCGAGAACGGGAGGTTCGACGACGACAGCACGAAGAAGAACTGGCCCAACTGTCTGAGGATAGTAGAAACCTAAGCGCTGGGACCGGTCGTTTATCGGAGAGACGGTTGAAAGCGGAAATCGAGAAGAACAGGCAAGCCCTGCAGGAGCTTGAGGAGGAAGAGGATGACTGGATTTTTGACTGTGTCTGTGGGGTCTACGGCCAGGTCGATGATGGCACACACAGTATTGCATGCGAGAGATGCAATGTCTGGCTGCATAGCAAATGCGTTGGCATTAGCGAGGAAGAAGCCGATCGCGATGATTTTCATTTTATCTGCAAGAGTTGCTGCCGAAAGAGTTCAACGCCAAAGTCTGCTACGGTCATCAAATTAAAGGTTAATCAACAAGATGCTTCATCTTCACCTCCCATCACAAAGTCGGACGGCTCGCCTACTCCAGACCGTGCCCGACTCAGCCAACGCTCTGGCATTGCTGTCGGGATACCGGCAAGGCTTAATAATACGCAGCTCACTACTCAGCCATTGATCCCCATAAAGCAGGCAGGTCAACCTAACGCCCCTCCTCCATCTTCACCCTTCACTAACGGTGATGGGCTTCATCCATTCTCTTCGCCGCATCCAAATTTATCACCTCCAGAGCAGTCGCCCAATAAAGCAAGGGCCTATTCAACCATGTTTAATGCGTCGCCAATCTCTGGAAGTCGTTCTGGGGATGCAAGGGTGCCACAAAAAGGGTTGTTCCGCGTGTCACCAAAAGCCAATGGCGTACCTCAACCCGCACAGTCGAGCAATCTCCCGCCTCATGCGGATGCCTCTATACCTCCCGTGGCCGCCAGCTCTGATTCGCCTTTGAAGCAGCCTTTTGATGCCGCAAGCAGTAGCCTTCCAGTTCTTTCGCCACCATCTGTGTCATTTTCCGCTTTGGCACGTCCTTCGAGCAGCGATGTCAACGCTCAACCGGCAGTGCTTTCTACTCCGCAGCTTAAGAAGTTTGACCAGGCAGGAGCACGGCTTGACGCAACACCTAGTTTGCCGCCGACCCAAAATGGGATCTCGCCCCTAAAACGCTCGCCGCCTCCACACCAGCAGTCGGGCAATGGCTTATTTTCGACCCCAGCACATTCTATTCTCCCCCCAGTGACAGCCCTGTCTCCTTCACCTTCACAGCAAATACTGACGCCTCCTGTCAAGCCTTCCGAACCTACACGGCCGACATCGCAGACACCAGGTGGTATCGCTAGGGATGAATAGTCAGAAACGTCTTGGGATAATAGCTTAGTTGGCCAGCCAACTAGACTGTTACAGGTCACCGAGAGTAGACCAATCTGTCATATAGCCTAGAGACTGGTCGTATTTTCAGCGCAATTTCTTTAGCACCACAGATGCGACTACGTCCTAATTGAGATAGGATACAGGTCTCATATGTGCGCCCAATTCTGGCATTGATATTAGGCAACTTTCTTTAGCATGCGGGTGTAAATATGGATACGCTTAGGTGTTCTAGTAACGTCAATCTCTTACCTGTGGAATGGGAAAGGGATGCATCCCCAAACCCGTTGGAAGAAGCATGTAAGAGTAGGGATTTCCGATTGGTTTAGACGGTTGATGCATTTTACGGCGTAGGAGACAGGTAAACCACACCTGAAATGTAAACTAGAAGGGAAACGTTATAATACGTTGTTTTTGCATGCATTGACGCACAACTGGTGCCGGCAGTTTTGTAGCGCAACATTCAGGAGAATACATACAAAATCCAATAATTCAAAGTTGGCCGTGAGATTGATATTACATACGAGGGACCCATTTTAAAGATTCCCAGCAAATATGTAGTCGGTAGTCGGTACATAGCAGCCGTGCGTATTCCGTACATGTATCTAACTCTTAGGTAATGTATTGTACCTATGTACCTACATGTATGTAGGTTAGGTACCTAGGTTAGGTAATGTGCCTAGGTTAGGTCGCGACGCCTTACCGCTCATTAGAAGCCTCTTTCCCTACGGTAATTTCTTCTTAGGGGTCGGCCCTTTTCTAAATCGTCCTGCTCATAAAACAAAATACAAATTTATTACTTTTCAGCTCAATTGACATCCTGCCGCAATATGTATCTACATCCCCTACGCAGGGTACTACTGTGTAACCTAGGTAGGTAAACAAACTATTCAGCGTACCAATAATACCTGACATATCACTTGCACTTCAGTGTATCATCCTATTTCGCCTACCCATCTACTTCTTACTTGTCATCTTCTATCGTAGAATTCCTCATCTTAATGTCTAAAAGCCAAGCTCTCCCAGTGGTAGACAGCTACACCGACTCCACGTTTCTCTCCTCGGTAAGCTGCAGATTGCATACATAGATGCACAGCAGTTCGCAGCCCGGGCGGGTCTGGGAATCCTACTGGACAGGGCATATTTTCCAGAGCCTGGGATGAGCTGGTCAGTCCTGCATCTGTCAAGGCTTAGGGGAAAGCCCAACCTAATCAACCCCAGACTTCTGGCAGCTATTATTGGGCAATGCGCCATGCCGTCGAAGTTGAGCTGTCACACAAGTCCCGAATGTTCGCACGAACTGTTGGTCAGAGCGCTGAGACAGAATAGGAGCAGACTGGTGCATGCAGAGACGCTATTGGCAACGCAGAAGCGAGTTAGTTGGATGGTGCACACTTGCTCGTATGCTTCTAAGTGCCATTAGTCAAGCAAGCAACCAAGCAACCAAGCGAACGAACGACTCAAGACGAAAGATGCATACACGCTTGATGCCGGTATCACTAGCATCAAATTAAGTATTATAGCATGAAGATGTTGAAGGTGAGGGGACAACTCAACTAGGTTCTTTCTAATGGTTTCATTGTTATAGCTCTACACATCCGGGCTATGAGCAAGACAGTACATAGTAAGGGAGAAAAGAAAAGAGACCCGGGAAGAGCTAACTGCGTGATGACCTCAAAGACAGACACCGAGTCCAAAAAAGACGAAAGAAAAGAAGAGAATACAAGCCGGTCTTTCAAGCAAGTGGCTAGCCAGTATATATGTATGGGCGCATACGCGATGCTGCACATTAGCATCCTCCCACTACGATGCCCGTCCATTTCTTACATACCTCTTTACAGAGATGATGATTATGTTTTCTGAAGTCATGGTATTTCTTTTCTCTCAACATTCTATCAATACGACTGAGACTACTGCTTTTACTAAAACAGTTTATCTTCCTATCCGTCAACATTAATGTACGTCAATTTTTAGTTGTTGGGCTTTCCCCCTTTTAGCACTACTGGGGTCGAGGTTCAAACAGTCTGCGGAGCTAGTGCAAATACCCGTCGCACGGTACAGGGATACGGCTGCAAACAAATGCCCAAGCACGATCTGATCTGCCAGTCATACATGCTCATCGCTAGGAATGGCAGCACTGTCAGCCATGAGCACTGCAGTTAACGTCTATATTGCAGATTAATGGGCCTAATCAACAGCCAATAGGTCCTTCTTGCTTGGCTACGGAGCTGATGCCGAGATTATCCCACCCCCGGGATAAAGGGGTCAGCCTATAGAGCTATGAAGACACTACATGTTGAGGGCTCGGATATGTTCTCTTCACTCTACTCCCTCTCTGGTGCAGGTACTAAGGCCTATTTAGTGGTTAGTAGCAACGCGTCATGGTCATCTTGGCCGGCCGCTTGTACGCCGCGATCTAGCTAGGCGAAAGGGGGTATGGTGAAGAGAAGAAGAAAGAATCCAGTGCCAGTCTGTCTGCATTGGGTTAATTTCTTCAGCAAATTCCCAAAGGAATGTTGGAGTATGAACGCCACTGGAGAGTTTAGCTGTGGGAGACACGTTTTCGGGACCTGTACAGGAACCAACATTCCAGTCCCTCACATCGGCCAAGAGTAGCTACAACGGTACCCAGTGATGGCGAACCTTCAGAAATCCTTGTCAAAGCACTGCCAAAAGCAACTCGTAGTGGGCAACTGGATGATATCTCCCCTAGTCGTATTGAAGATGTGGCAAAAAAACCAGGTTGCTCGGAGATCAAGTTCATTCAACTCCCCGGTCCCTTATGCAACATATCTCATGCAATCTTGCATGTAGTCTATTAGCCCGGGATCTACGGCCATCGGTATCATGTGGGTACAACACGCTATCACTTATTTTTATGTTTATTTTTATTCTTTTTTTGCATGTCTTACCCTAGTGGGCAATGGTTGAGTGGGAGTCCATCGCTATCGGCGTTAACAGGTGTAAGAGCATATGTGAAAGCGAGAAAGGGAGAGAGAACTAGGTATAGGCTACATTTCATCTACTCCAGGAAGCATGGCACTGACAATACCAGTTACTCACTCTCTCGCTCTCTACCGGCCCGGAATGTTCGGTGCCCAGCATAAGTACAGTTCTTAGATTCTCTCCCTTTTACCCCCGAACACGGCTAGGGCTATCATAGCTCCGTAAGTGATCTAGAGTAATTTTTTAGGCCAGCACAAGTTGTACAATGCTTCGCATTTTTCCCTCTTGCGTTCCGAAAGCGGTAATGCGCAACCTTGCGGCCGCATTCTATCTCCCGAAGAAAGCCGCCATACAAATAACTATAGCCCCAGGAATACTGCTTTGAAAGGGAAGTTTAGAAAGGTGTTTCTTTTTGTTGTTGCTTGTTACCTATCGCTGCTTTTCGTCGTTCGTGCTGGGTCAACAAAGGCGGCATCTAGCAGTAGTTCTCTATCTAGCCTTTTCCACTTATCCATCTATACATGCAGCTTCTTGTCGTGCTATACAACTTGTTGGGTTGATGGGGATAGGGAAGGATGCTTATACAGTCGGCCGACAATAATCGATAACTTTACACATTCGTTACCCAGGTCAATTTCCACGCACCCCATCAATTAATCTGGCTCAAGGAACCGGGATTCATCCCAAGAAGACAGTCACATCGATAGCCAGCCTTACGGAGATACTAGTTCCTGCTACTTCTGCGGCACGTGGGTAGCTGAAATTCCTTTGGCGAGGGAGTGGAAACAAAGAAATAAAGGCAGCTCGTGCGGACCATAGGCCGGGGAGGCTGCATCAATCAGTAACTCGTTGTGCCTACCTATTGCACTGTACCCACTAAGAAAGGGGCGTGAACTCATCAATCAATCACATACTTCACCCCTCGGAGAGAGAAGCCTTACACATATCTCTCTATCCCAAGACTCTGGTTCAGCTTCTACCATCGGCCTTCCAGATTTAACAACGAGACAAAGTGAGGAAGCACGCACATATAAGCAATAGAGAGAGAAAACAGAAGCCTCGTCGCAGCACTGCTAAAGCAAGGATATTACAGACAAATCAACATTTCCATCAGGCAGATATCATGCAATAGGTACGTTCGTCTGGGTCTCTATGCTTCGTCTTTCTCCCCTCTCCTGCTCACATGACCGAATGCGGCTGCATGCCCCCTTCCCTTGCAGTGTTACGACCAGAGACAAACCTGGTTTCTGATAGATCTATGCCTGCGGCTGCAGGCTACACTAGCACCAAGCCGCGTAGCCTATGTTGTCTGGATGCACACATTGCTTCTCCAGTTGCAGAAAGATACAGCTTGATAGCAGGAAGGCAATGTGGGCGACTAGAATTGAAGACTTACTCACCCATTCACAGACCAAGAAAGTTCAGATGAAAGCTCCGGCACCTCTGTAGTTGGAACAACCTCAAAAGTGGTAACCCGCGCCGGTTGCCCGATACATCTTCGATATTCTTCCAGGATATCTGAATCAATAAGATACTGATTTCTACTTTGAGACGTCTTCTTCCTTGCCCCCTTGCTGTATATGTCTCTCTCGACCTCACTCACACTATTTGATCTCATCCGCGGCCTTATCACGCCCACCACGCTCTAAGTTAAGGCATTTCCAGGTAGCTACGAACCAGCTATCAGAGACACATCCGAATAGACAAATTGGAGACTGGCTGCCAATCTACGTCACGGTAGAGCTGGTGGAGACCATACACAGGCACGGAGACGCTGTGTGCTAGTACCTCCTTGTACCTACATTCATCTTATCGGTCTTTCTAGTTCGCAACTCATATCCAAAGATAATCGCCATAACCATCAGTACTTCATCCAGGTTGACAGACTTGGGATATTGGTGGATAAACGTAATATCTATTACTCACCAGTATTTTATCTGATAATAGTTACGCGAGAGTCTGGCTGGCTATTGGCTGTTTGATAGAAGGAAGGAATAGAACCGGCAACTAGTTGACAAGAAGCCATCCTCTGGATTCCTTTGCACGTGGGCGTACGTTGACTACATTCTTGCTCAGGGGAAATCCCGCGGCTCTCTGAAAGTGGCCTCCTCATTTATCTTCAATCTTTATGGACACCCATCTTCCCTCGATATTTACTACAGTTTCTCCCTGTACGCCTCAAAGAGCAATTTCAACGACTTACTCCCACTTGTCGCATAAAAGTGTAGTAAAAAACAACCTATGATATGGAGAAAGCCAGTCCGTCATCGCCGGCACCCTCAAACAATAACAACCCCCCTTCCTCTACAATCGCCGACGACGTACTCCAAAATCAATTCCAGCAGCTTATCCAGCATAATGCGACAGCGTCGTCTATCGAGGTGCACGGCCAGATAAATTCCAATCCCCCCTCACGATATTCAAGCCCGGTTCCGGCACCGGCACCGCAGCAGCAGCAGCAGCAGCAGCAGATGGTCATGCCTATATACGACCACGCCACTACGTACAGCAGCGGATATCAGCAGCAGAATTATCAGATGGAGCCAAGCCCGTATCCTCAATTGCCCGATACAGGCTCGTCGTTGGTATGTTATTATTAGAAATAAAGGATATTGATCAACTTCAATAGTCGAACAATCAACTTGATTTCCTTTTGTTCTTTATTGTTCGTGTACTTCAGAGATCAATCTTTACTAATGTTTACTTATAAAAGACACCCCACAATGCTTATAGCACTCCTGCGACTTCACCACCAACCCCTTTACAATCAGAAAGTATTAGAACAAGAAGTGGCCGAGCTATAAATCGGACGCGCGAAGGGACACCGATGATGAATTCTCGAGGTCTCAAAAGGCAATCCCCAATGTCCGGAGGAGAAGGCATAGGCGCAGGCGCCAAGAAGAAGAAGAAGACCAAGGGGCAGTCAGATGAGCCACAAGTGGTACTGGACGCGCCTCTGAGTGTATTAGTAAAAGATATTACGACAGTGCAGGACACTAATATCGAGGAATATGTCAACCGAGGCGCGGAGGTGCGGCAAAAGGAGGTAAGGGAGTCGAAAGATGGTAAGGTGAAGCGTCCGATGAACGCCTTTATGCTTTATCGGAAGTCTTACCAAAATCGAGCCAAGGAATGGAGAAAGCATGATAACCACCAGGTCATCTCGCGGATCTGTGGTGTTAGCTGGGCTATGGAGCCACCGTCTCTGAAAGAGCAATTCGACACCTATTCTAAGATTGAACGGTCAAATCATGGCATTGCCTTCCCCGACTATAAGTTCGCGCCAGCTAAGGCTAAGAACAGGAAGACCAGTAGCAGAAGCACCACTGTCAATGAGTCGGAAGACGATGGATCTGACCTGGAGGGTTACCACTGGGATACCGCCCCGCCGTCGAGAAGTTCCTCAAGACCGATATACGATCCAGATGGTGAATACCGACCACCAGGGATGAGAACAGGGTATCAGACATATCAGTCACCCGTCATGCCTCACCAACGACTGCCACATCCAGCACACCCATCTTCGTTTCATCACTCAAACCCGGGCAAGCCTCGACCAGCCGAGTACGGAGTTGGGCTTGGACCGGGCCAGTACTATCAGCAGACGAGCGATTATATGCGCCCAAGCTACCCACATCATATGTCGCCATACGGCAACCAAATTTCGGGGCACATTACCCCCTTTGTCGAGAACGTCTATATGAACAAGGCAAACTCACCTGTGGGGTCATATCATAGCTCCCCTGTTGATCACTACGGCAATATCATGGGATCCGCGTACCCACCACCACCTCATCCGCACCAGCGCATGAACGAGCACCCCATAGACCCGTCGCTCATGAGCCAACAAGGTAGCGAACATTTCGACGCGTTAGGTATTCTCGGACTAGGGGGTCAAGGTGAAGGGTTCCAACCTCACTACACGCTAGACCAGGGAAATCTAAGCGGACACGTAAGCGACGAGCAGCACCACCAGCAGCAGTTTGAACAGGCTTTCCACCATCCTAATCACCCGGTAGCCGAGGAACGGCCATCGTGGCACGACGACGTGCCGAAGCTGGAGGGCGAGTGGGAGACACTGGCCGCGGGCACCGACTTCGACATCGACGGCATCCTGGGGACGACGGATAGCCCCGGTGGTTAGTATATCCCTGGATAGACGTGAAGATCAAAGACGGAGATGATAGATCAAGAGATCAAGCGAGAAATAAGTAAACCGAAATAAAAAGGAACGGGAACGGGAACTGGAACGCAAAACCTCTTGCGTTTGGAGTTGGGAGTAGACACACACTTTATGTATTTAAATTTGACCTTTCTTTTCTCTCTCTCATCATGTTTTCCCATCGGCGCTATTGCGCCTTGGCTTACCTGTACGTTTCTCCACACGCTTGTGTGTGCTGTGTTTATGTGCCATTTGCTTGTGTGTGGGTGTGTGTGTGTGTCGGGCTATCCGCGCTCAGAACAGTGGTTTAGCGGCGTCATCATCGTTTCGTGGACATAGACTTGGGCGGCTTGGCTGAAGTGATGATGATGACGATGATACCCTCTCCCCCTTTTCCTCGTGGCCTGAAAGTTGGTTGGAGATCTAGAATGGATGGACATAGAGTCGGATTAGTCGAATTAAGTTAGACAGACAGACAGACAGACAGACGAAGCCGCATCAGATTTTGTTTTTGGGGGGTTATTGCAAAACGGCTGCGTGCGTGCTTTAAGTAGTTTGGAGTAAAGGAGGATGGAATTTGGGGATTAAGATTAGTAGAATGAAATGAAAATTAACTGCATCAATGCATGTATGTAAAGTGTGAAGAGCACCAGTAGCTAAGCTGTAATTGTTTTAGTTTTCCGAATTAGAATAGAAGTTGGGAATAGAATCGAGAATAGTCTCTCCAGGAGCCAAGAGAAAAATAAAAACAGCAGGGGGATGATGATATATACCAAGCCACTCCGCTTCATCTCTTTTGTCCCCGTCCACACACACACACACATATATATATATAAAAGAACCTACGTGGCTCTCTACTTGACGTCGTCCACCCTCCACCAGCCGTCTTTTTCATTGTGCAAGCGAAATGCCGGCCAAGTCAATAATAAAACGGTCGAGCCCCGTCTCCCGCGCGGGGACAAAGGAATGTTTAGCCTCAACTTACAGGAGCTTTCCGCGGCGGGCGGGGCCTTGAAAGGGATTAATATCCGTCGAAACAGACAGAACTATATGCTGCGGGACGGCAATAAAGAATTTGGGGATGATGATGGTAAGGGATGTGGTATTCGTTTTTTTTCTCTAAATGTTACAGCTCATCCCTAGGTCTTTCTTCGCTGCTGGAGGATTGCGGACCAGTGTGCTCTTCTACTTCTACTTGGACTTCTACTTCCATCACGCGCTTCTTCGGATTAGGGGCTTCGTCGTCGTTGCGTTCCCTTAGCACGGTTTCTTCCTTTTCCTTTCCCTCTGCCTGCGTATCATTTTCTGCTTCCGCTCCAGGGGCTTCTTCTTCCGCCGTTTCGTTATTAATAATCCTATCAACTTCCTCCATTATAGCCTCTGTGCTCTCATGTGACATCTCCGATTGATAACTGACTTGCGCCGTCTGGACCCCTTCGTTATTCATGTGTACCTGCGGCGACCTGGATTGTGTCGTAGACGTGTCGAGGTCGGGACTCGATACTTGTGCGTTCCGTCGGGAGACCGTATTCGACACGCCAACCGCGCCCTTAAACATAAGCTTCAAGGGGAGCCAGACGAGCCACCATGTCGGACCCCAGAGCAGACGCCGGAATATTAACCAGCCGATAGTGACGACTAATATATAAAAAGCCGACTGCAAATACCAAGTATCAGTCTTCTGGCTCTTGAGCAGCGTGCCAAGCAACGCTCTCGAATTCGACAGCATGGTATCCAGGCTCGAGTAATTCTCCGACAGCTGCGATAGCGCGGCCGTCGACTCCTTCAGCGCATTATGCGCGAAGTCGCTCTTGGACAGCTCGGCGGCCATCATATCGTGAGTCCTGCGCATCGACTCGGTCACATCGCTGCTGGCGCTAAGCATCTGCTCCTCCCTGGACATCTCGGCGCGGGCGCGCGGTTTCCGTCGGCTGGGCGGTAGCAATGTAGCTGATTCCGGGGGCAAGGGGGACGAGGCGCCGGATTGGGGGCTCGAAAAGGAGGCGTAGAGAAGCTCGCGCTCTTGGCGCTGGGCTAGTTGCAGGTTGCGCTTCGCCGAGACTTGGGCTCTCCTAAAGGCCTTCCGACAACTATAAGAAGTTAGAATAAATAGATAAATAGATAAATAAATAAACAATCTCATAAATATAACTTGTGTATAATTCAATTCCCCTTACGTACTTCTGCAGCTCCTCCTCAAGCCGTGTTGCGCCGTCTTTCAGCCTATCTTTGTCGTGTTGTAAACCGCCCCCTGGCTTTCCTGGGTGGATATCTATTATTTCCTCGTGCAGCAGCTCGAGCTCCTCCTCCTGTTCGCGCAGTATCTGGTTGATTTCGGAGCTGAGTTCCGACCCGACATTGTCGTCGTCGCTCGCGCCGAGGGGCACGGAACCGGGTTGGAACTTGAAGTTGGCCAGTCGGTCGATCAGCACCTTGAGCTGGTTAGTCGCATCTTGCAGGAGCGCGAGACGGTCTTGTAGATCGGTAAATCGCTTCTCTAGAGCTTCGGGAGACATGTTGTTGTTTTTGGTCGAGTAAATCGAGCCGAAGCTCTTTATAGGGGTTTTGTGGCACTGTTCATAAAGGCGAAGTGTGGATTTATGAGACCTGTAGGTTAATAAGGTAAGGGTTACTTTTATGGAATTATTTATTGTTAAACGGTGACGTTGCAGGTTCCGTCGAATTGCAACCGAAGCTTTGATGTGGCTAGTACCTATATGGAACCTTAGTGATGGCATAGCCACACCCCCTGCATCTCGTTCTTAGGTCCATCCCCGCTCATCCCACCTTATCAGCACCAGCCACACCTCGAATTGCCAGCTCCAGAAAATCTTCCGAAGCTCCATCGTACGTCGTGAATCTCGTATCTAGCACCGGAGGGACGAGCCAATTCGATGCACAGGTGAGCTATTCAAGTCAAATAATCTTTTTTTTTTTTTTAAAAAAAAAGATCAAGCTATATATATATACTAATAAATATACACATAAAAGTAGACAGCCGGCACAATGATCACGCGCTTCATCACCGAGGTGAACACCAAGTTCAACCCCTTCTCCATTCGCTCGCGGGCCACGAGGCTATTCCTCAGCGTTCTCCCTCCCAACGCGCGGCAGAACGGCATGCAGATAAACACCACTATCCTACCGCGAACATCTACTTTACCAGCTACCCTCAAAGTCAAATTCAGTGCGTCCAGTCCCAGCGACAGCGTTAGGCGCTTGCCATTCGGGCTATGCTAACTACTTGTTTAAGAGGATGGGAAGGAGATGACCTTGGATGGCGAGCAGTTGGGTATCAAGGGCATAATCGAAGAAGTCGATAGACATTCGCGGGCCTTGCAAAAACAGTCAGACTTAACAGATGGTTAATGAAACGAAGTCCTTCTTATAATTTATCCCTCGAGTTAATAAGCATTGGCCGGCGTTTTGCTCGGATTAATTATACGGGTATATATCATTGCACAAGAATCTGTCACTGCTTTTATCGTCTATGGAATCGCAAACATGTCAGGGCAACGAATGGGAGAGCGGATAGGATAAGTTTGATACCCATTTTACGAATGTGTATTTATTCATCCTAAGCCAGCGCATGCCGTCGAAGCATGCCAGACAGATATGCTACCAAGCAGAGCTCCGCTCCTTTTAAGATTTAAGCCCATCAGCGCGCCAAACTTTTCTCTACCGGACCCAAGGACATCCAGCCTACGCGGCGGCACCGCTGATGAAAAACCACTTGTCGATCGAGCTGTCGATCTTCTCGGGCGCGAGTTCCTCATTGGGCGGTAGGGGAGGTAGCTGCTCAGGTCCGACGCGGCTAGGCGAGTGGGCCACGGTCAGGTTGGTTGTAGAGATGCCGCCAGGCTGCGTCTTGCCGGTGATCAATCGTTCCCAAGCCTCACCGCATTCGCGAATGACATCCAGGGCGTAACTACGTGCTCCGTTAGTAGTGAATCCGGTATAAAGACAGGGGTACAGGGGTAATACTCACGCCTTGTTCTTGCATTCACCGGTGAAGGCGAACTGGTTCTCGGGCTTTCCGTCGGGGATCTTGTAGATACGGAACCACTCGTTGGTAGCACGGAGGAGACCAGGGAGGTGTCGCTCGACATCCTCAACGTCGTTTAGCTTGGAAGCCAAGGGGTCGTTGATGTCAACAACGATGACCTTCCAGTCGGTCTCTTCCTCGTCTAGCAGAGCCATAACACCGAGGACCTTGACCTGCTTGACCTGACCAACGTAGCCAACCAGCTCGCCGATCTCGCAGACGTCGAGCGGGTCATTGTCACCCTTAGCCTTGGTTTCTGGGTGAATCGAGTTGGGGTCTTCCCAGGTCTATGTAAGGTACACACGGTCTTAGCAAGTATATCAAGCAAACACGCAAGAGATACACAACGACGTGGAATGTGTGGAATGTATTACCTGAGGGAAAGCACCGTAGTTCCAGAGGTAGCCCTTGTGGGGGAAGCAGTTACGGACGTATCGTAGCTTGCCCTTCTTGATGTCCTGCTTGATGGGGTTTAGGAGTTCGTCTTTGGAAATCTAATAAGAGGAAGACCTCGGTTAGTAAAACAAGCTGCGCCAATATGTTGGAGCTGCTCTAGCATAGTGCATACCTCAAGCTTGGCATTGGTCCATCGGGGAATCTCAACGATCATGTTCAGGACGGTCTGCTCCGCGTTGGCGAAGAGAGGAACGTCGTGGAAAGGAGAGACGGGAACGCCATCCTTCTCGATGTAGACTCGGTGCTCCAAGGTGTTAGGAGCACCGACCTTGCGGACGCCATAAGACGAAGCCATTGCAGAAGCAGATCCTGAATTACCCGATTTCTGGCCGATGGTCGATGAAGTAGAGCCCTTGAGGTGTTGGGCGAGTTGAGTAGTACGACGAGACGCAATCTTGGAAATCTTGGAGGTTGGGGCTTTGGGAGCTGAAGAAATAGGAGTTGAAGAAATAGGAGAAGGTTTGATATGTGGATTTGGATGGCGAGAGTTAGATTTAATTAGGGGCAAGTGGTCAGAGGTGGCAGAAGAAGGAGGGGGAGGGGTCGAAAACGTGTTGCTGCAGGAGACCGCCAGCTTGGCTGATGGGATGACGTGATTGGCCTGATAATTTCGTTGTATTACTAGTTGTTTAAGTAGTAGCCGTTTATGTGGATAACGTGGATAACGATAAGTGAGCAGTCTTTTTTCTAGAGAAAAAATCTGCTGGCCAACTCTTGGTAATGACATGTGAGATAGCCTTATTAAGAAAAAAGAAAAGAGGCAAAATAGAAAGGGATGAGGGTTAAAAGAGGTTAGATAAACTAAAGAATGGCCATGAATACCTCAAACAATAAAAACAGCTGGCTATTATCCACAAGGCGAGCCGGACTTGGCCGTTTTCCTTTTTACCGCTTTCTTTACCGTGGTTGCTTAAACAAGTGTACGATTAGATTAACCTAGGTCAACATTTTATTCCAGTCTTGTATATCCCCGAAAGACTTACTATGCGAGCCACAAAAACGGACCGGTCAAGTGTGGCTCGAACACGGACTTTATTGCCCAGTTGGGGATGTCTTACTAGCCACAGCTCCCCGCCGGTCGCATCTTCTAATAATCTGTCTAACAAACCTCCATACGTCATCCTAACTTCGACGTATCAATATCAATATCAATATCAAAACATATGCAAATAGTCGCAAACTTACCTATGCGTCGCTTGTTTGAGGAACACAAAGCTCCAAGTACGAGCGGATACATACCTCATATAAGAATCGAGCTGTCACTAGTCAATTATTCTTGAAGGTCTATATTATATTTTGTAAATGATTGATCCCGTACAAGCCTTGAGGTATGACACGTAAAGCTGTACGCTACAATTTGAGCAAACATCGTCAACCCCTCAGAAGAAAACAAAGAGTGTCGGCCACGTATTGTTATGACTTTCGGGGCAGAACTTGGCTCACGTAACTCGAGTCTCCAGACTCTAAAGATATTGCTAAAGGGCCTTCACCTTAATCAGTCATTGTTGGATCCTCAGTCCACTAAGACACTGATGACAAAATGTCTCTAGTTAATATCATTGGACTCTTCCTCGTGTAGACATCATATATCAATAAGTCGTGAATGGTGTTTTCCAACCTGGAATGTCATTTTTTTATATATATAAAAAAAAAATCCATTTTCGGATGATAACATGTTAGAGTCGAAGTGGCGCTGGGTCGGCTTGTACCCGAAATTACCTAGGTTAGGAGGTAGCTGTCATGACAAGCCCCGTCGCCTGTCATCGGGTACTCGCAGAACGGAGCCACAACAATAAATGTACTGCCTACAGGTAAAGTACCTAGCTTCTGATTGAGAAGTTCCCCGGGCCCTTGCTGACTTGATATGACGCCGTATCGATCTCGTCGCCTCTCCAATTATGTTAGATACCCCATCAATGTGTAGAGCGCGTTAGAAAAAAAACTAGGACACGGTTACGTCAGGCTCGTCGTCTCAATGTATACCGGGCTATTTCTCGGATCAGTCGTCGGTATGATTTAGCTCGGACGTAGTAGGAATGCTTACTTCGCGTAAGATCTAGGTAGCCACGGGTCCAAAGGAGACTCATATCAGCTTGGATGCAGCAGGAATGCTACGAGATCTATTCCCCAAAACTGTTCGAGCTCTTCAGCGTCGAGGCAAATATCACGCTCGGCCTTTCTTGATTAGATGAAAATAGGTTTGGAAACCTAGCTAGCTACCATGAGTGATGGTATTGTCGGAATAGATTCCCCGCGCGAGTAAATAGGAAAATACAGCTCCGAAGACAGTGCCTTCAGATAATGAGAACTGGTCGCTTACCGGACTGCTCATGCCATCCTTTCAAGGTGGAGAACATGGTCATTGTTGACCGTACTACTTACTCACAGTGCGTCGCTCTCGGAGCTCGTCGGCGACTACTACTCAGGGGCCAGTGCTAGTCCGCTTCCCCAGTCCAATTTCCACTCGGAAATATCTGCACACACCAGCAGAAGGATTAAGAGGATAGAGGAAAAGGTCAAGAGTCTGGCAGAACGGATAGTCGGGGGACCAAGGCTTTATATACCAGACCTCTGGCCCATCCAGCCCATCGTTCCATCGTTCCATTAATTAGTAACGTGGGGGCATTCCCTCGGAAGATCGATACGATTATGCAACCACTTGCCCAAGTTCGGTGAGAGACTGGAGTCTGGAAATCTGGAAATCTGGATGGGCAGGATCATGGATCAGGGGTAAGCCAAATGCTGGTACGGAAACGGCCTGCCAATATTCGATACCCGCTGCTACATGCTACATCATACATGGAAATGCACACCCTACCTACCTAGCTACCTAACCTCATGTAGGCGCGTTGGACTCGTCTAGCACTCCAATACATACACACCTGGTACGTGTGACAGAATAGTCAAAAAGTAACAACTATGCGAATTGTGCAGAGCGACTGGGTTACCTAGCAAGGCCTGCACGGTCCTTGATTGGACCCCAGCAAAATTCCCGTGTCTGTTAGCGACTCTGTCGGCAGAGCTAGGTATTGCTAGGATTTTGGAGTCTTTTTTCCTAATGTATTTGGGACCTTTTCGTCTAAGACGTCTATAATTGTCTCGAGTTAGACTATACACCAAACCCCAAATTTACGATGGAGTTGCGATTTCTCAACTCTACATAGCTTGGAGATAATTGGCTAGTCCCCAATAATAAATGTCTAAAATCGGTGCTTCAGCCCAGAAGAAATTCCGTCATGGGCTTGCATGCTGTCACATGATTTCAGGACCCAGCGCCTTGGGTGCGACACAATCTTCCGCAAGCCGTAAGACTTCCAGTTCGGTACAGACCGGGGTATCTATAGGTCAATGGGGCGGCCCTGTGGTGGCCCGGTTCTGGGGTGTAGCCAATGAGAGTTGACGGCCGCAATGCGCACTCTCAGAGGTACTCGCAGATGCGGACTTGGGGTCGTCAAGGCCTCGACATGAGACGATGTCTTAGCAGGAATTCATGACAGTTCATCACTTGTGCCCCTTTGGTCCTCAACATCACTTATCGTCGTTTTCCCCCACTTCAGGTACCGAAGCGACCCGCTGGCGTGTGCTGATTTGTCTCGTGCACGGTCTGACAAAGAGACGTACCTACATATACAGGCGACTTACACGAGCCACGCAACTGCCAACATGAGCAACAGTGACCTATCCCAGATCACCTCGGAGATCCCTGACTTTATTGGCGGGCTCCCCAAGAGGAGACAACCCAAGGTTCCTGCCCCACCGGATGAATTCGACCAGTACTTTGATTATAAACGTTTCTATGAAGGATCCCCAGCCGCCGATGCCGACTCGCGGAGCCGCTCTGACGCCTCTTCTATCCCGGGGCTAACCTCCGGTCCCTCGGAGGAAGACGGCGCATCCTCCCCCAGGTCCACCGAGGACTCTTTCCACTTCAAGGAAGCCGTGGAGCAGATCAAGCAACACGATGATCGCTTCACTGTGCCAGCTCGTGAGATCAGACCTAACGGCGTCGAGCCTTACCCATGGCACATGGATATAGACGGCACGCTAGGTTCGAGTGGAGCCGAAATCCAGGGACTCGGTAGTAGTAGTAGCCCGCTCTCCCCAGCCTCTTCCAACGGAACTGCGTCGTTCTCATATCACAGCTCCTCGTCGGGAGAATTGCCACTTAGCCGTGGCAAGCGACATCGCCCCCTAGATAACCCAGATAAGGTCGCCCAGATGCGCAAAATTGGCGCCTGTTTCCGGTGTAAGACGCGCAAGGTCCCAGTGAGTAGCCACGGTCGTATCTCGGCTTCCTTCCTAATCAACTAGAAGTGTGACCAACAGATCCCTTGCTCGCGTTGCAAAAGTGACGCCAATAAGTACTGCAACGATGACGACGGCGAACTAGCAGAGCACATGTGTTTCCGCCGTCTCTCCGCTAGCAGCGACCTCGTCTTTCATGTGATCTGGAGTATGTTAATCCCATTATCACTGTCACCTGAGCTTAGGTTCGAATGGAATTCTGAATAGCTGACCCTAGCAGAGATGAAAGTAAACCCCCCTGTTACATCGCAGAGAGGTAACCCATCATTACGTTGGGACGTATACTTCAAGCCGTGTCTTGCGACCCAACAACCCCTAGCAATTTCGGTCACGCGCAACGACAGCAGCCACAATAATAGTCAAACATGGCAGAGGTGGCAAGCCAACCCAGGACAGTCAGCTCCTCAATACGTTTTGAACCCCCATGGCGCGCCCGAGGATGTTGTACTTATAAAATGGGCTTCGTGGCAGATGCTCACAGACGAAAGCTCTGACTTCCAATCGGCTCTAGACGTTCTAGTTAGCAGATATGCCCAGGATGAACACTCATTTCTACCATATGTTAGTCTAGTGTTACTAACCCCTCACGTTGTAAACCTACTAACATGTCGCCAGTACTCTCTTGTTCGCAAAGTTTATGACATGAGGTGCATGTATAAAATCTGGCGCCAAAAGAAGTTTTTCTGCCAAAAATATCCCGGATCCGGTCTAGAGGAGCTTCCTAGTCAGATCTGTCAAGACTTGAAGCGGATCATAGTTTTCAGGATGAAGACGCTCGAGTCTGATATCTTGGCGCAGTTCTGGAAGACCTTGGACGCGGCCTTGAAACCGCATGAGCGATTACCCCTATGGGCTTGTATGATGGAATTTATTCTGATGTACCGGGATATATATGAGCTCAATCAATCGGAAGGTAATGAGACCACCCCAATTTAGAACACAAGGACCTGGCTCACATTGTTCAATAGACCTTTGCGGGGACCCGCTGCAAATCCAAACCATAACCACGAGCGTCTTCAGCAACTTAGTCGTGATGTGCGAGATCTGTTTCAGCAAAAAGAAGCCGGAACCTATGACTGAAGACGGAAGCCCGATGCTGAGCGCAGCGAAGAGGCATTTGAATGCCGATTTCAGGAGGGTGGAGATCCGCAGAGACGAGTTCTGTATGTTGCAATGGAGGTTCTCTGAAATTAAAGTGTTTAATGGACTAACCATTTACTTTAGACCAGACCATCCAAGACTGTACTACTTATCCACACTCTTCCACGCTGGACCGACTGTTCTGTGTCCTGCTGATCGGCGCACAAAGAGGCGGTACAAGAGCTGGAGCCCGAGCGCCTAAGCGAGCCAGGCGATAGACGTGTCGTCGTAGCACGAGGATCCCGGGTAATTTTATTTCTTATGTCTTCTAAACCTGGTTCGGTTCGGGGTTGGTAAACAGAGTTTCGGTATGAGTTCATTTTTTGGCCTGTTGGGTGATCGATGGTTTAGCGAAGGAGTTTAGCGACAGGCTGATACCCATTTACCGCATTTGAGCTTGCATTATGCCTCGCGATGAAAGGAGGAGGAAACATTTCAAAAGGCATACTACTTGTTCGACGACACTCGCTGCCGGTATCAGCGTCGCGGGGGTTATGACTGACATTCCCTAGTAAAAACTGCGAGGGTCGTCGTTTCGGTTGTGTTTGCATAAGTGTCATGTTCTCACCATGTTTGAAAAGTGGTGTATGATACTCTTAGACAGCTATAATAGTAGCTTGTAGTTAGAGCGAGTACACTTGCTGTGCCCAAAACATCGGGGCTATATTTAAGACGAAATGACTAAAGTTCAAGCTCCTCTCTGGACACTGAGCTCGACCTTCCTCTCGGTCGTGTCTGCGACATCTCGATACTTCCCAACGCCCTTGAAAATGCTGACCAGTTCTTCCGTATCCAAGGCTTGTAAAACTGACGGAGACAATGAAACTGTTAGTTGAACTTTGGTTTTCTTTTTTGTGATTTTCATTGTTGAGCTGAATCTATACGCTTGTTAATATGTAATATGCAAACAATTCATCATTACAAGCTACTTACTTGACGACCCTTTTCAGTCTATCGGTAGAATCTGGGCTCGCTGGACAAAGCACGGCAAGCAGATTGGCAACTGCGCCGAGATATTCCACCCAAAAGTTGGCCTCGGGGGTTGACTGGCTGACAAGTCTTTGTAGATTAGCTTGAAGTGGTTTATCAAAGGGGCCAAGGCTGGCTCCCCATCTATAACAAAGGGTCAACCCCAAGACTGCTCGCGCTAAATGACTGAAACCAGGTGCACTAGGGTCACGGTTAATAGCTTGGTGTAGTTCAAATGCTGCGTTGGCGCCACTTGGTTCTCCGATGCGCGCCCAAATATTGCTGGCAAAGAGTGGACCAAGTCCTAAGGTAAACACAGTCGGGATGTTGGAGAGATCGATATTGCTTAGTAGAGACGATTGCACAGTATCGATCACCGATTGCAAGATCTCAAGTTCCTTGCAACTAACTTGATGGAGAAGTGGCAAGGGGCTTTTCTCTCTGACGGCTTTGGGGAGCTTCATAAATAGAGCACCCTCTCGATTGCCACCACTGCAAAATGTTACCGTGTGAATTCGAGGAATGGCACAGACCAGTGCCTCTACGACTGTAGCGATAGCCGGAAATTGCTGGCGCCGTCGTTTTGACATGCCATAGATCTTGCTCTCGTATTCGGCATTTACCTTGCGCATGTGTTCGGTCTGGCTAAAGAACGAGCCTTCGACAGTGTATGCCCCAACCGCAGGGATCGGATATGGCTGGATAGGATCAACATGCATTAGAAGGCTGCCATAACCTCTAAATCCACCGCCGCACAGGAAGACGTCAACACCGCCACTATCTTGGTTGATCTGTGTCTCCCGTAATGGCGAAAACTGCTGTTGGAGCTGGGCGAAGGCACCTCGCATGCCCTCTTGCAAACTGTTCACAGCAGCAGCTTGAACCTCTGCCTCATCGCCCTCTAGGACCTTGATCAGCTTAGCAGCTCCAAATGGTAGACTCTTTCCAGTTTGCGCAGCTGCAATTTCGTAGCCATCGATAGAAGAATTCAAATAAGTCATCTGCACCGAACCACCTCCCAAATCAAGAAACAGGCCGTTCACTGTGTCGAACCCGCTTCTTGCACCCATAGAGCCAAACAGAGTCTCGACTTCTGGCGCTAGTATTTGAATGCCTTGTCCCGAACTCTCCAAGACAGCATCTAGCATAGCAGCTGCATTCTGGGCCTTCCGCATAGCTTCCGTAGCGAATACAGAGATATGCTCTGTCGGTACGCCATAGTCATCGGCGATAGACTTGAATCGAGCCAGGGTCTTAGACACCTGGGTAATGACATCCGAAGAAAATGTCAAAGGACCACTTGAAGCTGACGTATAGAGAGCGTCAAATAAAGAAATAGCAGCGCGCTCGCGATATAGACATCTGAGAAGACGACTTTGTGGAGGCGATAGATCCGAGATAGAGAATCGTATGCCATTGCTATCACAAGGTTACTAAGAAGTAAATAGAAGAGACAGCACTAGTTCGCATAGATAGATGTAAGGTGCCTTAGGCTAGGTTTCGGGAAGGACTGCAATCTCAAAACAAACAGGGTGACGATGTGATGATGTGACAAACCTTCCCATATCAACTAGGGCATAAAGGTGGTTGGAGAGGTTGGGGTCCCATCGTGGCATCTTAGATGCAAAGTTTTCAAGTGTGATAATATCAGTAGTGGTCGACATGTTGAATGTAACTACATGAGATAATATCCGAAGAGGAGACGTTGCGCCAGGGCCAATTATGGGAGTTGTTGAATGGAGTGATGGTGTAAAGCAAACTGAGGCTCCACATTGCTTTTTTAATCGACATCATTCGGAGCACAGACATTGTCAGCTGGCCAGCTGCCACATACATAAATTGGCGCCGTTTAGAAGCACGTGAAATAAAACGCTTATATAATCTATCAGTGGCTATGTAGGTGGACATTAATTCGGAATATCAAAGTGGATATCAAATATACATCCATATGCACTCCAACTTCGGAATAGATAGGTACATACGAACGGGCATACATACCTCATCTCTGTACATAATTCTCCGCAGGTCGTTCGTTGCTCTCAAACGTTTCATATTAGGTATTTATGCACTATATCTCTTACTTGATTAGCTATTTGGCAATAGTTTGCGACAGTCCTATTCTACGAAGTCTTCTAACGTTCTATTGACGCGAATTATAGCTTAAGGCATGACCAAGTTCTGATGATGCATATATCAATCGGCATACTTCGTAAGGAGAAATTAAAAGCAATATTTATCCGTTTTTGTAGTGTATAGTGCATGCCGATTATTGACCGAAGCATCAAGTTTTTGCTATGCTTTAAGAAGCTTCGTTGTGAAGATTTATGGAAGAAATTCTCCAGCCGGTTTCTATAAAACCTAGTCGCTATAAGTACAGCAAGTTCCTATATTTAAATAAATTGGTGGAAGAAGAAACCTTAGTAACCTAATGATTTCATAAGATCTGGTGATGGTGTTCTGTGACAGCGAGATCGTCACCGGGGATTGAGCACACGGCCGCTAGACCGTGAGGCGTTATGCCGTACAACATCAGCCTGTAAATGATCTCCGAAGACAGGACCTTAACCTAGAGATTTACGAAAGTGTACATGCAGGCCAGGCCATATTGATCCTCGGGGCTGTCCGGAATAGGACCAAGCCCTCGTGGTATCATGTAGGTACCTCTGTAGTATAATGGGTTGGGCTTCCGCTAAGAGAGGATGCATAAGGAACGGATTTTATAGTAAGACTAGTATTCAATGGCGTCAATCTTCACGTAATGGGGATTTACCCTATCTCTCAGCCAATCATTATTGCGTGGGTAGTCTTTATGCTCACTTTACTTCATGTATGTAAGTGCATCATGATAGAAAGTTGTCAGACAAGGTCTTTAAAAATCCACGAACCAAATAGCCCAATGAGCGTAGAGATGTTCGTATAGAATATATTCTTGACACTTATCAGGAACCGAATCAACCTCCCAGACCATGTGGAATGTACGTGGGGTAAAAGTAATGAAACCTCCCATGCTTCTTATGGAGTACAGGCATGCTTACGCGTCGATTCGCGTTAGTTTCGCGTCGTTTTCTCTCAACGGAACATTCCGATTCGTCAGTCAAACAACCCGCTAGTAAATGGGGTTGAAAGTGAGGCTACAATTTTCTTTTTCTTTTCGAGATGATATAATGGTTAACTCAAGTCGTGAAGAATATGATGAAAGTACCATTTAAGTATTTTAAGGATGTAAGCATGAATTGTCTTAACCAACTCTATACATTTCTGACTTCTCAGGTGGGAGAACCTTCAATTCTGTAGTTACACTATTAATAACGCCATCGATATCACAATAACCGCTTATATTTAGTGGATATTGAAGTCGTTGTCTACCTATGTATTCTTGCAATTTATTAGCTTAGGGTTCGTCTTATAAGCTATCCTCTATATGTTATAGTATTTCCTTAGGTCTTTGGTTCGTCTTCGTAATATCTATAACAAAGAAGTTTTATGGCAATTGGAAGCCGACAAATCTTGGGTATTATTCTATCGTCAGCTCCGTTCGGTTATATGGAAATCGCAGGTAGTCTAGAAGAATTGTTGCAGTCTACCTACGTACTAGGTAACCTAGATATGTACTTCCATAGCCGCAATATTCACCTCGAGACATTGAACGGTCGCGTCACGTCACATGCCGTCACATTCCGCCACATTTTATGATGTCTCACCTTGAAGGTCGGGTCTCGCCCGTACCACAGATCTTCTAACCGCCATCGCAACACATTCTCCTAACCTAGGTTAGTTATATCCCTAGGGTTAGCTACTGTCATAGAGAAACTTGGGTAGAATAAATGAGCGCGATCAACAGCTTGCTAGGTATGCGCTCTGATTAAACTCCACTCATATTGATACCCATTTTACTACGTGTTTGCATCCTATGTACTTCGAGTCGACTAATAGTCGATAGCAGACGAATAGGGTGGCGACAACCAAACACAATACATACATACGGGAGACACCCGGGATGCGCTAGGTGCCACTAAATTTGCCTAACTTGATCTCACAATCACAGCTTCGACTACCTTAGGTCCTTAGGTCCTTAGGTATGTTAACACTGCCTCACTTACGTTTGGGTATATTTGGGGTCTTCTAGAACTCGAAAGCCTAAGCAATATGTGTTGTTCGCAGTGGCATGTACGAAGCTCCAGTACGCGGTACTGCATAATCCAACGAACGAAATCGGCCAGGTCGAGCGAATAAGAGAATAGAGAATGTGAATTCACGCGTTGCATGAAACATTCTCGTCCACTCGATTTCGCGCTTTTGGTCAAACGCGTACAGTGAGCATACGGACAATTCGCACGGGTACGTTCCTCTGGATCTAACTGGAACCCCAGCTCCCCATTCCACTCCATCCAACTCCATCCAATTCCCCCCATATGGGCTGGCGGCTAGGGGGTCTTGCTCAGCGTCTGTGCCCTCTGCCTATCATCGGTATCCTCTTAT